AGTTGACTCCAAGGTTTTTACACCCGGTCTATCATTGATAGACTTACCTTGTCACACTGCCATGTCACTTATATAATACACAGGTTATTTGTGAATACTGAGCAGAGCGCGCTAGATGTGAAGGTCAACTATTTATTTCATATTGCAGAACCCTTGATGTCAAGGCGGGTGAAAGCATAAATCTACAAGGAATTTTATTAATAAAATCTATGACTGTCAGTCAAAGAATAATTCCAAGATAATAAATACCAGCTCTCAACTACTGTAAACTCTTTTAATAGTGTAACGGGGAGCACGTGTTTCGTTTCGTGCAGACATTTTACTCCTGGGTGTTGGTTGTTAACTTGCGTTAGTAACTGTACCTTTCGTTAGTCGTGGGTGCAGGAAATGTATTTCCTGCGAGGTTTGGGTATCATACTTTGATTCTGTTCCGTCGGTGGTTGAATTGTTTTCGCCGCCATTTTCTGTTGCAGTCAGGTTGTTTGGTATGAGCAATTCTGATTAGTGGTGGGCAGATTGGCTGGCCAATCGTGTCAAGGTTGTTACGTAAGACGTAGGGCAGCTGCAGGGTATTTAAGCGCGTAACACAAATTGTTCAGTGTCTGTATGATCGGCGACCGGTCACAGGTGAGGTTATCCACCGCAATATGTCCCGCGATGGGACAACAGGATGTTCCGTGACGGAACAATGAGTCCTGACTCCACTCCCTGTTAGGTTTCAGTGTATTTGTCGGGCAATAAAGAGAAATTAAATAGAAAGGTTGTATATTTTGGGGTAACTTTGTTAGTGGGGACGGCCGGGTGGATTTCAGCATAATGGAACATGCCAGACAGTAGGATTTTCGTATATTAGTGTAGGTGCAGTAGAGTGTAGGTAGGCTTTAGCGTTATTTCAAGAGGGTGGTTAAAGTGTAGTTGAGAGGGTTGGGAGAAAGTAGGTTAGGTTATTAATAAAATATTTTAAGTAAATGTGTTTGTATATCATTTGTTCTCAGGAATTTGTTAGATTTGATTTATTGTTTATATTGTTTTGTTGAGTTCTAATTTTTTTAATAAATTATGTCTTTATCTGAGAAATTTGTTGTTTTTTAATTGCTCCTCTGCATCCACGAACTGGGAACGGAACGGCTTTGATTGAGAACACACAAAACACAACGCAAAGCAACATGGTCATACGTCGTTAAGGCCGTTCCCGTTACAATAGCAAACATTATGACCTGTTGTTTTTAGTCCCAGTTTGACTACCCATCCAATATACAATCTGGTGCAGTCATGAGTTTTTTAATTACTAGCTCTCTCCCCTTCATCAGGTAGACTGTTCCTCCAAATCTTATAAACAATTAGAGCTGTACCAGGTTCATACAATATTTATTCAGCTAATTACATAGGTCATTGTTGTGGAAGAGTTCAAGTATACACATATACTGAGTTACACAATATCATATACACTACTTGGTAAGTGAATTAAGAAGTTATTGTGCTGTATAACATTTTGAACTATGGACAGCACAAGCGACATAGACTTTGTAAACACTGTGATGGGTCCACCATTGACAGCTCAATGAAACTCTGGTACTTTAATATCGTGAGTCTCACACACCGGGGCCGAGATAAGTTCAGCATTTCTTCTTCAGTATATTTACAGAAACTTTTTTGCCACCCAGCCTGTAGCACGAACAAATTCAATGGGCGACTTCTGTCTTCTCCGGAACTGATCCTACAAACGTCGGAGGCGAGCATCTAGCTCTCTGGACATCCATTTCCTGGGTGCTGCAGGAGCTCCATGGTTCAGCTGGGCAATCCATCTCTGTTCATTGCCTCGATGCTCTTAATCGCCTCGATGAATTCAAAGATGTTAGGGTGACTGTGCCTGATGCCCTGATTCAGAGAGTGATGAAAACCTTCAAGATGGTTATTTGTTTGTGGGACGTCTGTCTGAGAATGGTTCCACACAGGGATGGGGAAACGTGTGTCATCATGTAACAGCCTCTCACAGATGTGTTAGGGAACTCAGAGATAGCCTTGTGAACAGGGTACTCAAAGTCTACCTGACTAGTCAGTGGTTGAAGAGGTCTGCCAGTCGATTGTTGAACAGCATCCTTCAGCACCATGAAAAAGTCTACAGTGAGTTGCTCGCTGACGATCAGGCAGAAGACAGAAAGCTATGGGAATCACAGTATTGCCAGTAAGAGAGTGAGTCACGTTCAACTGATGCCAAAGTCTTGGACACGAATAAAAAGTTCCATCCGTGAAGAGGACATCAGGTTGCTGTAAGGTTGAGAGTGCTTCCTCCGTAGAAAACACGTGCAACTTGTCATCGTCTCCATCTTCAACAACAAGAAAGCGACATCCATCATATGTAGTAGTCCATCTTCCTTCTAGGGTGACACCTCTACGATGTTCAGGCAATGCAGGAGTGGTATTCCTTCTATGTCTATAGAATGATGATTTCACTCTGGACAGAGGTTGTGCATCAGCAGCATCAGCAACAGGCAGTTGGCGGAGCTCTTCATTATAGATCTGGGTCATTGGAGTTGACTCATCCCTGGATCTTTTTCTCAGTGTGCTCATGAATCTGACTGTGGCTGGATTGTCAGGCCCGTGATTGTGCTCCCCGGTAACTGTTCTGTTCTTCCAGTAGTCAGCCACATTACCATCTCTGAGATACAACAAACTCTGCTTTCTGAACACCAGCCATAGCTAACACTTAATCTCTGACTGGGTCTCACATACTTGCTGATAAATGTGACAGTTAAAACATTTTAATTTTAATCAGTGTAGAGGGATTATCTTAGCTTGGGTTGTAATTGGATTATGTCCAATTTTCAAAACAAACAACTTGCACTAAAAGTACAAAAGGTTTTAATCTGAGTAGACGAGTTATCTCCAAATATCAAAAGAATTATGTTCAGTTTTCAAAACAAATGAAAGTATGATGATTATCTGTACTTTTAATCAGAGTAGAGGGATTATCTTGGTTTGGGTTCTAATGTGGAAGGATTATGTCCAATTTTCAAAACAAACAATGAATGATCACAAGATGGGAATGCTCCATTATATGTTTATGTTCATGTGTAGTCAAACTGGGAGTAGTCATAATGGGAGGATACCGTTTTAGTTAGAGTGTTTATATAGAACTATGGTCATGTTTACCAGTTTGGTAAAACACAAGCACTAGTGCGGTGATGATGGACCACGGGAGAGATCTGGGCTATAAATCCTGGCAAAGCTAAGGGATGTAACTCTGCACCAAGAGGTACAGTAACATAGACCACAATGCAACCTGGGAATGGATACACTGACATACACTGATTTACACAGTTGTGCATCTGTTACAGGTATTGAGAAAAATATGAAGGATTTAACATTATGAACCACACAGAAACACCTGCTACCAAAATGAAAAAGAGAATACATATTACATTTAAAAGTCAGAAAATGATGAATGTGCAACGTTAGCAAAAGTAATGGTACTGATGATTAAAAGAGGGTCTGGTTTAAGCAAACTAAAGTGGAAGCTGTCTAAACTGGCACTTATTTGGACTGAAGAAATAACTCGATTTAAAAAGCGTGCCGGATTGTAGAGCTGACACGGTTACCTACGACTAGAACTCAACCAGGAGATACGACTTGTATCTGACTTTAAATGCCTGAATCATACCTTGGTCAAGAGGTTGCAACATGGACGTAGTGTTTGCAGGCAAAAACTTGAGTGTAATATTGCTGAGTGACACTTTGTGGTGTGGCTTTGATCGTTATCCACAAACAGTAAGATCTTCCGCCTAACAACTCAATAATTACATGTACAAGTATACCCATACTGAACTAAGATTAAATTTTCTTTGTCAGCACCCATGTAGTTTCAACACAGGATTAATTGGGGACAATACACATCCGGTAGACACCTTGCCACACGCCGGATAAGACAACGCTGATTACTGTATAAAAACATATTCATGGCAAGACCGGATTTGACAGCTGCCGGATTGCAGAGCTTTCAAATGATGGACTATGCCTGTGTTGACAATTTGCTGGATTTGACAGATGCCAGTTGTGACAGCTTCCACTGTAGTATTTTCTATATTGTCACAAAGCATTGTTTTAGTTTATCTCTCTTATCTGACTCAGTTGCAACCTTACACTAAAAATAAAAGGGTAACTTCTGATAATCCCAAAGTTAATCATGTCCTAGGGCTGTACAATTAAAATTACAAAAGTAACTGGCACTGAATGACAATCCGTTTTTCCGCAATAACTTCGAGGGATTGTTTCATCTCTTCCTTGACTGTTTCATGATGAGTTAAAACAATTCCACCTGAAGGTTGGAAAAAGTCCACTGAGGCATAATATCTAATGTCACTAATCTTTGTGTAGTAGACATTAGAAAATCACAGACAGAAGCCAACTGATGACTAAACTGTAAGAAGTAGTTTCGATGAGACTGCTTATATAGAATGATAGAGAATTAACGGATCAACTTTGAAGCAAGGGGAGAATGAGTGAGTGAGTTTAGTTTTACGCCGCACTCAGCAATATTCCAGCTATATGGTGGCGTTCTGTAAATAATCGAGTCTGGACCAGATAATCAAGTGATCAACAGCATGAGCATCGATCTGCGCAATTGGGAACTGATGACATGTGTCAACCAAGCCAGCGAGCCTGACCACCCTATCCTGTTAGTCACCTCATACGACAAGCATAGGTTACTGAAGATCAATATTCTAACCCGGACCTTCACGGGTCAGCAAGGGGAGAAAAGGGAGTGGGTAGATACATTTGGGAAGCAGGACACTTGCATATTTAGTTACACAATACTGGTATATATTGATCTCTACATTCTGGTATACACAAGATTTTTAGGCACAGTATATTTACTATCAGTAAAGGCAAGTGAATTGATACAAGGATCTTTTTTGACACCAACTGTTTAAAAAAGCAAAGGACAACATGGATAACTGAAGCCAAACGGGAAGACAAACAAGAAAGTTAGATACACATACCACTGGTGTTATTCATTGTTGTTGTTGGCAATGTTGTTGTTTCTGAATAACAATAATAGAACTTCCAGTGCATTTACATCTTCCATCAAATAAATAATCATAGTGCAACACAAAGACTAAAATACAGAGTGGGCCTGGGAAACTGTGAAGCTGTTTCAAGAGAATTTCAGAGCTCAGTTGCCGTGTAGGCAAATATTCTGTGACCAATTTTGCTTTAGATTGCTCTGATCTGGCTTCTGGTATATAATGAATACAAATAGAGAAAAAGTAAGTTTTTTATCAACATATTGACCAGAAATGCAAAATCTTGCCACGTGAAAATACACAAGGACATGTGTCAGATTTTACACAACTTCCAGAAAATCTGTGCATCAAGGATTGAAAAGGATAAAAAATAACAGGCAAATGTGCTGGCATATTTTTTATGGGAAAAGCTCAAATATGTTTTCATGGCATCATCAGTATTTCCTGTGACTGCTCGATCAATCCGAGTCTGATCATATACCCATTGTGAACTCTTCTTCGTTCTTCTTGTTCTGCAAATGGTAAGCGGGGCAACACCTTCTTTTATCGAAATAATAGAAGTAAATCTTATGATTTTGTGAATTTGAAAACATGCTGAGAATTCTAGATTCTAGCTGTCTTAAATGATCCATATGTTAAGAAAGGGGCTTTCGAAACTGAATTTACACTGACTTATCTTGTAAGACAGGGGATCATGGATTTTGTCAGTGGTTATGGGACAGTAACCTGATGTCTATGAGTTTACGTGATTAGGGTGTGTTCTTTCTGTCTATCATCTGGTTGGGACTGTCAGTTGTTGCGCCACGATGAGAGGACCAAACTGGTGGATACCATATACATCTTCTGTGGCGATATCTCTGAGATAATGGCTGGTGAAGACAGTCTCTGATCTCCAAAAGCAGCCTTCCATGATTGACGATAAACAGCAGTTGCCATGTAGAGCTAAGGTTGACGGTAATGCTCTTAACTTCATGAGGGTCGGAAGCTCCAGGCGGATCCAGTCCTGCTGCTTTGTATGCCCATAATATGACTGCTCTTATCCAAAAGGAGATTGTAGTTACCGAGACTCCTATAGAAGTTGCAGTCAACAACGGGATGAAGAGGCGTATAAAGCTCCTTCTTCTCGCAGCAGTTCAGTAGGTAGATCTTCAATTCCCTGACTGGACATAATGATAAGTCCTGTGTGTCGTTGGGTCCTAATACTGAAGATGAGGCTGAAATGTTGAATTATCTGTCCGGCTTAACTGATAGCTGAATCTTTGCTATGTAGTCCCATCACAGGCGTAGATGAACTGCTGGATGATCCCTGGAGTTGAATCTAGGGCTTGTATTTCTGACATTCTAGCAGCTGTAGCTAAGGCGAGTAGGAATAGCGTCTTCAGCAAGTTAGCAACTCAAAATTAGCTTCCATCAGAAGCTCACTGGTAAGAGATCCCACGCTGGAGCCTTAAACTTGTTTTGTTGTTTTCTAAGTTTAAAAGATCTTAATATGGCGACAAGTTCAGGAACCTTGGTGAATTTAACTCCTGTATTCATAGTGAGGACCGAACTAATGGCCGCTTGTTAGGTCGAGAGAGTAGATCCTTTTAAGTGTCTAGTAGCTCTTATATGACATAAGTATTCCGCAACTTGAGGGTGAGGCTTTAATGGCTGAGAATCCTTTGTGAGTAGCAAATTGGTCGAAACTCTTCCATTTGTCATCATAAAGATTCCAAGTTTCCTGAGTGCTAAGGTAACTGCCTTAGCTGCTCTAGTAGAATACCCTCGTCTGGTGAAGCAGAGCGGGATAGGCTCCATGCATATAATTGGAATCCTTGTGGATTGGCATAAGGCCTTGTCTGTGGATGTATTACTATACTCAAAGCCATTAAAAACATAATTTCCAATTCAATTATATACGGTGTCAACGCCCTGGTATATGGTTGACAGGGGAATTAGCTCAGAATTAAGACGAATTACAGATATTATATATACAATTACGAATTATGTATACAGTTCTTGACAAAAATGGACAGGTCATGACTCAACAATGGACAGATAGAAAAACTTCCTTGACCAGTTGATGTGATGGCAGACACTGCCAAACTGGATGACCAATAAAGGTTATAAATGTCGTATGCAGTAATTAATTGCCTGACAAGTCAATGTACAATGCGCGGAAGTAACATAGAATACAGATTAGCATCATATAAATAATTACAATAAAGTCTCACATGTCTTAAGTACATAGTTTTTACTTTTTAAATATTTGGACGATGGCTGTCCTGATTTAGTCACTATAACAACTGTAACAAATTGCATCAAAGATGCATATAACAAGGAAAAATCAATTTGATCAATTTGGATAATGTCATGGAAGAATCCATTACAAAGGCACAAATCAGGAATGTCTGAGAGTCACAGAACAGAGCAGGGATCAGCAAGATTCAATATCGGGTATGTCCACCCTGAGCCCTGACACATGCCTGAAGCCGTCGAAGCATGGACTGACACAAATGTCTCAAAACACATTGTGGGATTGCTTGCCAATGATGTTGAAGTGCCTGTGGCAACTCTGCAACAGTTCGTGGCGGCAGGAGTTGAGTTTGAACCCGTAGTCCAAGTTCATCCCACAGGTGTTCAATCGGTCTTGTCTGGAGACATTGCAAGCCAATCCATAACACGGACCCGCTGATTTTGCAGAAAGTCTCTCGTTAACCTTGCAGTGTTAGACCACCTGTTCACAGACGCCATGTCGAGCCAGCAAAGGGAGTATCACTTGACGAAGGACATTGTAAACATAACATTGAGCGTTTAGGTTGAACCACCACCAACTGTGACCGGAAGTTGACATACAATACAAATACATAAATAATTGCGGACGAGGCTTCAAAATCACATTCACAGACCAACAAGCACTAAACAACACCTTAAAAAACACACTCATCGACGGCAAACAGATAAGTTGGCAGTATCCACGCTGGCAGACATCCATCCAAGGCATTATATACATAGACACAAGAGAAACTGAATCAGATATTAAACACTACATCAGCATAGCAAACACCATCCCCAACCAACCAAAAATCACCAACTATAGAACTATCAACAACAGACAACCCACCACCTACAACCCCAACACACAAACAACCTTCCTCACATTTGACACCACTACACTCCCCACCCACATTACATTTGGTGCCCTTACCTACAAAGTACATCCAACACGCAAAAACCCACAACAATGTAAATACTGCTTTTCATACTCACACATCTCAGATTCATGCAAGCTCCCAATGTTATGCCCAAAATGCGGGTCAGACACACACACTCTCGATGAATGTCGCCAACAGAAATACTGCATTCACTTCAACACATCCGGCCACACCGCTACACAAAATACATGCCCCATCAAGCAAAAACACATCCTCAGGCTAAACAAACACATCAAAAACACCGACCTGCCAAAACCAGCACGCACACTACTTTCATATCACTCCATCCTCTCAGCCAGCTCATCCTCCCCCTACACTTCCTCCACCCCCAACTCATCACTCTATTCACCCCCACCACCACCAAAACCAACTAAACAACGGCCACCCGAACCAACCACCAAACCTACCCGCCCCACCCACCCACCCAAACATAACATAACATATTGCAAATTCCAGTACAAGTCCTGGCAATATCAAATAAAATGAATAACAAAGACTTAACCATCATTAATGTCTATAGAAGACCAAATTTCAAAATTACCACCCAAGATTTGGACATTCTGGCAAAATTTATAAGTCCCCAAACCATTATCCTCGGTGACTTCAATGCACACCACCCACTGTGGGGCACAAGACCCTATACTGATTCAAATGGTACCCGCCTTACCGACTGGCTAAGCACACACAACCTTAACTCACTCAATGACAATCAACCCACCCGCTACCCCCTCTCCCACCCACACTCACCCACAGCCATCGACATCACTCTCACCACACCCAAAATTACACAAGCTTGTATATGGGAGGTCCACGATGACACCTGGGGCAGTGACCACTGCCCCATCAAAATCACAATCACATCACACATACCCACCCACACCACACCCACCCACTGAACTAAGATTCAACATTAAAAAAGCAAATTGGAATAAATTCTCAACACTTTGTAAACAAATAGACACCACAGCCATTTTCAACACAGACATAAACACTTTCAACACAAACCTGACTAATACCATACTAGACATCTCAGAAAATGCATTCCAACTTTTCGATATAACCCTGCACAAAAAACAGTCCCCTGGTGGAGCACAGAAATCATCAAAGCCAGAAAGGCAAGAAAAAAGGCCCTAAATCAATCAAAGAGGGACCGCTCGAAATTACACTTGGCAAAACAACTAAGAAATAAAACTAAGAAATTAATCGAGGCAGCAAAAAATGACCACTGGAAACAATTCTGTTCCACCCTTAAGCGAACAAATCGAAACTCTAGAACTATGTGGAAAAAATTTAATGCCATAAAGGGCATTTCCAAAAAAACTATTTATCCAAACCTTCCGGACCTAGCCACAAACAAAGACAGAGCTAATGCATTTGCTGCCCACCTCTCGGCTGTCAGCAGCTCCACCAACTACCCACCTTCTTTTCAAAACACCATGAAAAAGCAGCCCCCATACACCCCACAACCACCACACACAGATCTACCTATAAACAAAATAATAAATATACACGAACTCCAATCTGCACTCAGAAACAAACAGACTGCCTCAGCCCCGGGTCCAGATACCATTACTTACACTATACTCAACAAATTAACACCTAACATGCAAAACTTAACACTTTCCCTCTTCAATCATATCTGGACCTCAGGAACTATCCCAAGCTCATGGAAAACAGCCAAGGTGCTGCCAGTTCTCAAACCAGGGAAACCTAGAAACGAGCCTGATTCTTATCGCCCTATCTCCCTCACCTCTCATCTATGTAAAACTTTAGAAAGCATTATTAACAACAGGCTCAAACACCTTATATACACAAAAAATCTAATAAAGGAGGACCAGAGCGGCTTTACTCCAATCAGGCAAACTTTAGACCATATTTTACATTTGGAACAAGACATCAAGGTAGCCCATGCACAAAAACAATACACTATGGCCATTTTCATCGACTTTAGTAAAGCATTTGACATGGTTTGGCAAAACGGCCTCATACAAAAACTCCAAAAATATGCCATTAACGGCAGAATTCTAAATTTAATCCACTCTTTCCTTAATAATAGACAGATAATCCTCAAATCTCACAACACCGTCTCGGACCCCCATCCCCTAGAACAAGGGACCCCCCAGGGCAGCATATTATCACCAACACTTTTTAACTTCATGATCAATGACATATTCCCAGATAAATGGCCTGAAATTTCAAAAGCCAAATTTGCCGACGATATTTCCTTCTGGACTTCTTCCACTTCGGTCTAACAAGTCTCTACAAAATGCCAAAAAATGCTTAACCATATTCAAAATTGGGCCCAACAGTGGGGGTTCCTCATTAATGTTAAGAAAACCGTGGGCATACTCTTCAAAACACAAAGAATGCAAAATTTTACACCCAAACTGCACCTAAATAAGCAAAAAATTGAATTAAAAAAGGAAGCAAAATTCCTAGGTGTAACCTTTGACCAACATATGTCATGGACACCCCACCCACATTCATAACCTGGTCAATTCTTGTCAAAAAGATCTCAACTTAATGAGGGCCATCAGCGGCACAAACTGGGGCGCCAACAAACACACACTTATTGACATATACAAAACGCTCATACTGCCTAAACTGGACTACGCCGCCCCGATTCTCCACTCCCTCTCCTCCTGTAACCTCCAAAAAATAAACTCCATCCAATATAAAGCCCTAAAATTAGCCCTAGGCACGAGGACTGGTACCTCCCTAAACACATTACTTCTACTCTCAGGCACCACTTCATTCACACAAAGAATCAACCAAACAACACTCACTTACTGGGCTGGGGCCCAACATAACCCACTATTTCAACTCGTCACACATAAATACAGCAACATAAAAAAATCAAAACTCAAGAAATTCAAATTAAATCCCCTAAAAGCTCCCTGCCTCACCAACCTCCATAAACTACTACAGGCACAACAGCTAAACGACATACAACATACACCTCCCATTACAAGCTTCATTCACGACATACCCCCACCCACCACAGACACCACCCTAGACAACATTCTCCAGCAGTTACCAAAAAACACCAACAAACCCACCATAACAAACATCACAAACAACTATATCAACAATAACTACCCAACACACACCCATATATATACAGACGCCTCAATCAACCCAAACAAAACAACTGGTATAGGCATACATGTCCAACAAACCCCCACCATTACAACCAACCTGCACTATACAAACCACACCTCAATACACACAGCAGAACTAACAGCTATCCTCACTGCACTCCACCTAATACCTACCCTCCCACAAACTAACTTCCTAATTCTCTCCGACTCACTAAACTCCATTAGGCAAATACATAACAAGTACTCCAAATCTCGCCCTGATCTCATTCATAATATCACAATCCAAACCGACTCACTTAAACGAGCAAATAAAAACATAACTTTCACCTGGATACCAGGCCATTCAAACATATTAGGAAACGACACAGCAGATACAGCAGCCAAATTAGCAACAACACATAAATCACCAAATATAAACTTTCATACATCCAAAACAGAAACTAAACAACTCATTAAATCAAATATTCTTCATACTGACTTTCAACACAACATAAACAACAACAAATCAACATGGGTTACCTCCATTATAAAATCACCCTTAAGGAAAATCCCTACATTCTCAAACATTAAAAATATTGACACGGCCATAAACAGACTTATCACAGGCATCACAAACCTCAACCACACACTTTACAAACAAAATAGACATGCAGATGGACTATGCACACACTGTAATACCCAAGAAAACACAAATCACATACTCATACACTGCCAGCTACAAAAGACAAACATTAAGCAACTACAAAACAGCATTCCCTCTAAATATCACAATAACATCCCACTACTCCTCAACCCACACAACCCAACAAGTATCTTCAACGCCCTAACACTATTCCTACAAAACTCAAACCTTCTAACAAGAATCTAGAACTCATTAAATACGCCACAGCCACCTCTCTCACCTCCCACTTACTGCAACATTCAGGCCAGCCGTTCAAACCTCAGTTATCCATTCTGCCCCCCTACAACTTTAGACACGGCTCTCAATTTCACTTATCCATACTCTGCACACGACATGCTCGCTTTCCCCTCTCGCTAATGTAAACAACCCGTCACAAGCCCACACTGCCAAGGTGAAGGTCACTCGCCAGCCAGCTCATTACCACCGCTTGTCCCTCAACCCGGCCTATGCCTCATTGCGCCTCCCTTGCTCCCCTCAGCCCTTTTTATTCATTCTTTATATAGCCCCTTATATAACTTACGCAGCTTAACTGCATTTAATATCTGCCCCCTATGCTATACGTGTTCAGTACTCACCCCACCCACCCCATCCATCCCCATTCCCCACCCCCTAGGCCCCCTTTTATGTCACCTATCGTTTATTTCAACTCTATCCCTTACTTAGTAACAATCACTATTACTATTTATCCACCTTTCTCCTTTTTTAACTTGGCTTTTTATTATTTTTATCTCTATTTATGTTTATAAACGTTTTTTACTCCAAATTCAACTTAGGTTTAACGCCCCAGCATTTATATTTTTTTGGGTAAGGTGGTTTATCCCTTATTAACATTTATTACTTATTATACTAGCTTCCACCTACCCCGTCGGCGAAATTGGCTTAAACACTTAATTTCGTCGTTGTCGGGATGTAAATCTGCACCAAGAGGTACAGTAACATAGACCACAAGGCAACCTGGGAATGGATACACTGACATACACTGATTTACTAGGTTGTGCATCTGTTACAGGTATTGAGAAAAATATGAAGGATTTAACATTATGAACCACACAGAAACACCTGCTACCAAAATGAAAAAGAGAATACATATTACATTTAAAAGTCAGAAAATGATGAATGTGCAACGTTAGCAAAAGTAATGGTACTGATGATTAAAAGAGGGTCTGGTTTAAGCAAACTAAAGTGGAAGCTGTCTAAACTGGCACTTATTTGGACTGAAGAAATAACTCGGTTTAGAAAGCGTGCCGGATTGTAGAGCTGACACGGTTACCTACGACTAGAACTCAACCAGGAGAAACGACTTGTATCTGACTTTAAATGCCTGAATCATACCTTGGTCAAGAGGTTGCAACATGGACGTAGTGTTTGCAGGTAAAAACTTGAGCGTAATATTGCTGAGTGACACTTTGTGGTGTGGCTTTGATCGTTATCCACAAACAGTAAGATCTTCCGCCTAACAACCACTAATTAAACAAGTATACCCATACAGTATGACAAACAGCACCCATGTAGTTTCAACGCAGGATTAATTGGGGACAATACACATCCGGTAGACACCTTGCCACACGCCGGATAAGACAACGCTGATTACTGTATAAAAACATATTCATGGCGAGACCGGATTTGACAGCTGCCGGATTGCAGAGCTTTCAAATGATGATAAATGTACTAGCCATGGACTATGCCTGTGTTGACAATTTGCTGGATTTGACAGCTGCCGGTTTTGACAGCTTCCACTGTAGTATTTTCTATATTGTCACAAAGCAATGTTTTAGTTTATCTCTCTTGCTCTGACTCAGTTGCAACCTTACACTAAAAATAAAAGGGTAACTTCTGATAATCCCAAAGTTAATCATGTCCTAGGGCTGTACAATTAAAATGACAAAAGTAACTGGCACTGAATGACAATACGTTTTTCCGCAATAACTTCAAGAGCTTCGAGGGATTGTTTCATCTCTTCCTTGACTGTTTCATGACATGAGTTAAAACAATTCCAGCTGAAGGTTGGAAAAAGTCCACTGAGGCATAATATCTAATGTCACTCATCTTTGTGTAGTAGACATTAGAAAATCACTGACAGAAGCCAACTGATGACTAAACTGTAAGAAGTAGTTTCGATGAGACTGCTTATATAGAATGATAGAGAATTAACGGATCAACTTTGAAGCAAGGGGAGAGTGAGTGAGTGAGTTTAGTTTTACTCTGCACTCAGCAATATTCCTGCTATATGGTGGCGTTCTGTAAATAATCGAGTCTGGACCAGATAATCAAGTGATCAACAGCATGAGCATCGATCTGCGCAATTGGGAACTGATGACATGTGTCAACCAAGCCAGCGAGCCTGACCACCCTATCCTGTTAGTCAGCTCATACGACAAGCAAAGGTTACTGAAGATCAATATTCTAACCCGGACCTTCACGGGTCAGCAAGGGGAGAAAAGGGAGTGGGTAGATACATTTGGGAAGCAGGACACATGCATATTTAGTTACACAATACTGGTATATATTGATCTCTACATTCTGGTATACACAAGATTTTTAGGCACAGTATATTTACTATCAGTAAAGGCAAGTGAATTGATACAAGGATCTTTTTTGACACCAACTGATTAAAAAAGCAAAGGACAACATGGATAACTGAAGCCAAACGGGAAGACAAACAAGAAAGTTAGATACACATACCACTGGTGTTATTCATTGTTGTTGTTGGCAATGTTGTTGTTTCTGAATAATAATAATGGAACTTCCAGTGCATTTACATCTTCCATCAAATAAATAATCATAGTGCAACACAAAGACAGAGTGGGCCTGGGAAACTGTGAAGCTGTTTCAAGAGAATTTCAGAGCTCAGTTGCCGTGTAGGCAAATATTCTGTGACCAATTTTGCTTTAGATTGCTCTGATCTGGCTTCTGGTATATAATGAATACAAATAGAGAAAAAGTAAGTTTCTTATCAACATATTGACCAGAAATGCAAAATCTTGCCACTTGAAAATACACAAGGACATGTGTCAGATTTTACACAACTTACAGAAAATCTGTGCATCAAGGATTGAAAAGGATAAAAAATAACAGGCAAATGTGCTGGCATATTTTTTTATGGGAAAAGCTCAAATATGTTTTCATGGTATCATCAGTAGTAAGTTTTAGTTGCACAAGTCCTTAAAGACAGACTCATTCTTCTTCTCGAAAAGGCATCATACTAAAGAATTATCACTCTATGGCAAATCAGCCATTTCTGTTATAAGTACTAAGTTGTGTTGAACTCGTCGGGACCAAGGGAAAAGTTCAACTAATCCATGTGTTCGACACATATGTCAGCATAGAAATGACCAAGCACCAACACGACCAAAGAACAGCATCATTTTTCTACAGTAGACTGTATATATACGAACAATACATATTTGCCATAAATGTTTACTGCAGTACTGATCATTAAATGTAAATCACTTTATTCGTCATGACAAATAAATATGCAAACAGAAAGATAAGAATACATGTAATTTAACAAACTCACAAGCAACCCCATTTTGCACTATGACATTTATCAGTCAATATAAAAAACTTGTATTGTTCACACAAACAAAATCGGACGGTGACGTGACAACAGCATGCGCCATTGTGTGTTTAGAGATTTCCTGTTGGTCTGCAATCAACATGTCATTGGTAACAAGTTAATTAATCAAGTTGGTAAGTGTGATGACAATGTGTGTATAGATGTGTAGTTAAACTCACACTTATTGCTTTATCTCCTTTCCCTCCGAATGATGAGTGGAAACCTGTGTCCCTATGTTCCCAAGAAAATTAAAAAGACTTACTCACCCAGCAGGGCCCCTTTGCCTCCTTTCCTGCCATTTTCCCATGTGACCGGTGGACATATTGTCGCTCTCTGCGAAATCTGCCCCCACTACAGCTTGCAGGGAGGCCAGATGGTGGTGAGAGGGTGCCTCAGCGTATGAGTCAGGATAAGTATAAAACATCAATTTTATCATAAAAATTACATATTTTTCCTTATCCTGACTTATTGCTTGAATCCGACGTACAGGTGGTGGGTCAGCCACCTATCTGGATTTCCTGTGACTGCTTGATCAATCCGAGTCTGATCATATACCCAGAGAGGACCAAACTGGTGGATACCATATACATCTTCTGTGGCGATATCTCTGAGATAATGGCTGGTGATGAACTGCTGGATGATCCCTGGAGTTGAATCAAGGGCTTGTTTTTCTGACATTCTAGCAGCTGTAGCTAAGGCGAGTAGGAATAGCGTCTTCAGCAAGTTAGCAACTCAAAATTAGCTTCCATCAGAAGCTCACTGGTAAGATGTTACAGAACTACGTTGAGATCCCACGCTGGAGCCTTAAACTTGTTTTGTTGTTTTTCTAAGTTTAAAAGATCTTAATATGGCGACAAGTTCAGGAACCTTGGTGAATTTAACCCCTGTATTCATAGTGAGGACCGAACTAATGGCCGCTAGTTAGGTCAAGAGAGTAGATCCTTTTAAGTGTCTAGTAGCTCTTATATGACATAAGTATTCCGCAACTTGAGGCTGAGGCTTTAATGGCTGAGAATCCTTTGTGAGTAGCAAATTGGTCGAAACTCTTCCATTTGTCATCATAAAGATTCCAAGTTTCCTGAGTGCTAAGGTAACTGCCTTAGCTGCTCTAGTAGAATACCCTTGTCTGGTGAAGCAGAGCGGGATAGGCTCCATGCATATAATTGGAATCCTTGTGGATTGGCATAAGGCCTTGTCTGTGGATGTATTAGTATACTCAAAGCCATTAAAAACATAATTTCCGATTCAAAGCTTATATACTGTGTCAACTCGTGGTATATGGTTGACAGGGGAATTAGCTCAGAATTAAGACAATACAGATATTATATATACAGTTCTTGACAAAAATGGACAGGTCATGACTCAACAATGGACAGATAGAAAAACAATATCACTTCCTTGACCAGTTGATGTGATGGCAGACACTGCCAAGCTGGATGACCAATAAAGGTTATAAATGTTGTATGCAGTAATTAATTGCCTGACAAGTCAATGTACAATGCGGAAGTGACATAGAATACAGATTAGCATCATATAAATAATTACAATAAGATCTCACATGTCTTGAGTACATAGTTTTTACTTTTTAAATATTTGGACAATGGCTGTCCTGATTTAGTCACTATAACAACTGTAACAAATTGCATCAAAGATGCATATAACCAGGAAAAATCAATTTGATCAATTTGGATAATGTCATGGAAGAATCCATTACAAAGGCACAAATCAGGAATGTCTGAGAGTCACAGAACAGAGCAGGGATCAGCAAGATTCAATATCGGGTATGTCCACCCTGAGCCCTGACACATGCCTGAAGCCGCCGAAGCATGGACTGACACAATTGTCTCAAAACACACTGTGGGATTGCTTGCCAATGATGTTGAAGTGCTTGTGGCAACTCTGCAACAGTTTGTGGTGGCAGGAGTTGAGTTTGAACCCGTAGTCCAAGTTCATCCCACAGGTGATCAATCGGTCTTGTCTGGAGACATTGCAAGCCAATCCATAACACGGACCCGCTGATTTTGCAGAAAGTCTCTCGTTAACCTTGCAGTGTTAGACCACCTGTTCACAGACGCCATGTCGAGCCAGCAAAGGGAGTATCACTGGATGAAGGACATTGTCAACATAACATTGAGCGTTTAGGTTGCCTTGAACCACCACCAACTGTTACCGGAAGTTGATGTTGATAGCACCCCATACCATGATGCCCCCACCCCAAAAACGATCCCTTTCCTGAACCCTGTTACGAGCAAAACGTTCACCACGATGTCGGTAAATGGAGTGAAGTCCATCAGGAAAACTGAGGTTGAATCGAGATTCATCGGGGAAGATGACATCACGCCAAGGAGTGTTACCCAGGTACCCATGATTTGTAGCCCATCGCTATCTGGCAAGTCGATGCAGTAAAATCTTACCTTGGTAAGGTCGACAACAGAATATACCAAAAGCAGCCAGGCGTCTTCGAACTGTTTGTGGGCTGATCAGATGTCTTGAACCTGTTGCGCAGGTGCTGAAGATGGATGTGACGGCCTTGAGCAGCGGTTGTCACAGGTGGCACACCAGGTCGTCGTCAATCGGCAACTACTCCAGTGGTGTTGAAATGGTGTCTGAGCAATAGTGGATGGATGGATGAACATGATAGCATCGGGCGACCGCCACTTGTGAAGCACCCTGATTCAGCATTCCAATAGCCTGGTTCCTGTTGTCTTGCGTTAGACGTGGCATTTTTTCCCAAGTGATGAATTTTCGATTTTGGAGCCGTCTTTAAAGGGCCAGAGTACAGGGAATGCATGTGCAAAACGTTTGACATGGGACTGCTGAAACTTGTGGATACAGCCAAATGTTGATTTTGAACAATAAAGTTCATTACTGAGAACTGATCTTGGATTTAAACCCAGAACTCCACAAGAAGGGACCCAGCACACGTGGTGTCTATGTGCCTTTGGGGGGACAAGTCCATGAAAATCTTTACCAGAAATATTACATAAAGTAGTAATTGTGTTTTTCATGGCTTTGAGTACAGATTCGGCCAGTCTGGTAGTTGAATTATGGGTTCTCCTGTGAGCTTTATTAGGTCTGGGCACAAAGTTCTCGAAGTCCAGTAGGGCGCAACCAAAAGCAGTTGGAGGACTTTGGTCTGAACGATCTTGTGTAGAACTTTCGGTAGTAGAACTGGTGGTATAAACACATAACCATATAGTCCTTCTCACGGAATGACTAGAGCATCCAGGGACCATGCTAGTGGATCTGGAACCGGTGCGGTGAGACGAATGTTGATGATTGAAGCGAGTCGGAAAGAGATCTATGAAAGGACATCTGTGATCCTTTGCTAGTTGTTGAAATGCTTCAGGATGCAGCATCCATTCTGTGAGAGATTGTGTGACTGGCTGGGATAACGTGTCGGCTATGACGTTGGTTGCTCTTGGGATATGACAAGTTTCTATCCTCAGGTTGAGCCTGTCTACTAGGTTGAATAGACGGAGGTGCCAATCTCGTTATGCAAACCAGTGAGCTTGCTGACATGTGATATGCAAATCAGGCCTGCGCAGAGCATTGACTTCTGTCATGGACCTATCAGCTCCTAAGCATGTGACGTCACTGGTTGGCCTCCATGAAATATGGTGCAATAGCTGGTT